CCTATATATATATATATATATATATATATATATATATAAAGGCTGTAAAAATTTTCCATTTTGAAGTACAATTTTAAACACTTTAATTACTGATTTAAATATTGTTCACGACGCATGATTTTCAAGGGTATTCACAGTTTCAAATTTCAATATGTAATTTGTATTTTTATGAGATATAAACCCTAAAAACTAAAAGAATTTGATCATCTACTCGGTTAAAATATGTTTAAAAAAATCACAAACACCAGGAACACAACCTGGATGCACCCACAGTCGAAGGTTTTGTTATTTCATCTTCTACCCAAGGTGGCCATTCTTGTTGCCGAGGTCGGCGTAGGCTGCAACCAACCATAGGTACAAGCATCACACCATTTTAAGCCACAAACTGCTAAATATCCCTAATACAACCGTTCGAGAGGATTGGTTTCGATAGTCCTTGTCTCAACTAACGATCAATTAGATTGGGATTGTATGCCATTGACAAATATTCTATCTGTGTGACAAAATTTCGATGAATAAAAGCCTTAATCAGTTTGGTAAAAAGTAATTGAAGTAGAAACAGTAAAAAAAAAGTAAAATATCTTTCTTTTAAAGCCATGTAACTATGCATATACAAATGGTTATAATCAACCATTTTCAATTTTAGATTAAGCATGTAATTAATCTTTTTTTTACACTTGATGAATTCTAACTTATTTTAATTTAAATATATTTTACAAATGAATTTTTACTTCTTACGTCAAATATTTGATAAACTAATGAATTAATAAAAGTATAAAATAAGTTTTGAGGTAAATATGAAATTTCTAAAGAAAAAGAATCACTATTTTTTTTTAATACTCGTCAATGTTACAATGGATATACTAACCATTCAAGCAAACATTGCAAATTATTTACGAGTTTGCAGAATATAGTTTATTTATTTATTTATTTATTTATATAATATAAACAAAATATTATTTTGTAACTTTAGCATGATATGTCATTAGAAAATAGCTTAATAATAACGTTATCAAAACAGGGAAGTGTTAATGGCACCCCCTTAATAGGGGGTGTTAATTGCTTGGAAATTATGCATTTTTAAAACATCAAATCGATTTAATAATATATTCTATTTAATTATCATTATTATTTAATACATATATAAGTTAATTAAGTTATATTATATATATATATATATATATATATTACGTATATGTAAT